AATTCATCATAGATATTTGGTGGATTTCCAACACTCCTAACCAATTACTACTCATTTATAGCTATAATCATGGCTTTTCTGGATTTGCTGCAGTTTTGACTCAGTCTCAAGCTAAGCTCATCACAGGTATTTCGCAGTTTAACAATAGCAATACCAGTCACATTACGTGCAAAGCACAATATCACAATAACACCAAAGGGTACAATAACATACGCAAAAGTAACATAAATATTAGTGACAAAAAACATGGATAAGTACAGAAGCTCATACTAACGATTAAAAAATGATAACACATCTCAAGTCTCGAATGAGAAAGTTTACCTGCGGGTTCTTACCACCGACTTGACCCTGTGTGTACCCTGTTGAAATATTAAATTAGATTTGATTTGATTTGATTATATTTAATATTTAAATATAATCTAAGTTGTGTTAGCCCAAACCCAATTAGGGTTGTATATAAATAGTCATAATGTGTATCATTATTTATACAATTTAATAATACAAATCCTTATTTCCTTTATTATTCTCTCTTTCTCTCACTAAAAGTGCCTCACGCACTAACAAATTGGTATCAGAGCTTTCAATTATTGTTCTTGATCAAGTTTTCAATAATTTGACGTCAGAGATCGTGTTTCTAGGGCAAGTGAATCAACCGCTACGAAGATGGCTAATGATAAGGGCATTCCGAATTCTCTTCCAATGCTTGACGGTAAAAATTGGATCTGATGGAAAAAATAGATGCAATCCTTGTTTGTCTTCCATGAAACCCTAGAAGTGGTTACCGACGGCGTTCCTGCATTGGCTGCAAATGCAACCGACGATCAGAAAAAAAACCCACAACAAAGTCAAGAAGAAAGATTGCAAGGCTGCTTATTGCATTCAAACGACTGTCGATGCTGCTAATTTCGACAGAATCTCTCATGCTAAAAAGATGAAGGAGGCATGGGATATTCTGGTGAAGTATTACGAAGGAGGTGAGAAAGTCAAGGTTGTCAAATTACAAACCTTGCATCGACAATATGAGTTGTTGTCGATGGGAGATGATGAAAAAGTTGCAGAATATGTGTCGAAGGTTCAGAAACTCGTCCATCTCATGAAGGGTTATGGTGAAACCATTACTGATAAGATGATAGTTGAGAAGGTAATGAGAACGTTGACCTCTCACTTTGATCATGTTATCGTAGTTATTCAAGAATCCAACAATCTTGAAACCACTAAAGTGGAAGATTTGGTTGGTTCGTTGGAGGCGCATGAGATGAGGATTATCGAAAGGAAATGAGTTCACGACTCGATACAGGCACTGCAAGCTCAGTCATGGAAAAAGGATGGTGGTTCCAACAAATTTAAAGGAAAGTTCGACAAGGCTCATGGCAAGAAGTATTGGTCTAATCCCCATAAGAATAAGGTCGAAGATAGATCTTCTGAATCCTCGAAAAGGGGAGGAGGAAACTATTGAAAGGATAAAGAAGATAAGAAAGGTATGTAGTGTTATAACTGTGAAAAGTGGGGATACTTGGCCAAGAATTGTTGGTAAAGAAAAGACAAGGCATCGACAAGCAAGGACGAAGGAGCGAACCTTGCACGCCAAGATTCATATGATTCTGAAGGTGGTATGATGTTATGGATGCAGCTGTAGATAACCATGTCAAATCCAAGATTTGGTTTCTCGACTCAGGCTGCTCGAACCACATGACTGGTCAAAAGGAGTGGTTGACAGATTTTGACGAGTCGAAGAAGAGCAAGGTAAAACTTGTTGATAATAGTTTGTTGCGAGCAGAAGGTACTGGCAACATAGTCTTTCAAATGAGTAATGAAGGGAAAGTTATGACCAAAGATGTGCTCTATGTACCTCAAATGAAATGTAATTTGCTAAGTGTTAGACAACTAGTCGAAAAAGGTTTCTCAGTTGTCGTGAAAGATGGAGTTTTGAAATTGTTTTACACCAAGAACAATTTGGTCTTAAAATCTCCATTGTCGAAGAATAGGACATTTAAGACTATGATCAGTTCGACAGAAGTTCAATGTTTGAAAAATATTGTCGACCACAAGGATAGTTGGTTGTGGAATTTGAGGATTGGACATTTGAATTTTCAATCACTTAATCAACTGATTACTCAAGATATGGTTACTGGTATTCCAAGCCTTGAGATGCCTCAAAAATTTTGTGAAGGTTGTTTAGTGGGAAAGCAATCCAGAAATTCTTTCATTTCGATTATGTCAATGAGATCATCCTGCATTCTCGAAGTGGTGCATTCAGATGTATGTGGTCCATTTGAAGAACATACAATTGGTGGAAACATATATTTTGTTTTGTTTGTCGATGAGTTTAGTCGAAAGCTGTGGATCTATGTGACCAAACGAAATGACGAAGTATTTGAAATCTTTAAGAGATTCAAGATACTTGTCGAAAACCAGAGTGAGAAGAAGATCAAAGTTCTGCGAACAGATGGAGGTGGAGAATACACATCTAAGATGTTTGAAGATTTATGTGCAGAACATAGTGTTGATCATGAGGTAACTGCTCCTTATACACCTCAACATAATGGAATTGCTGAAAGAAGAAACATAATCATATTAGATATGGCGAGATGCATGCTGAAGCAAAAGAATTTGCTAAAGTCTTTATGGGGAGAAGCTGTTTCGACTGCAGTTTATATTTTGAATAGGTGTCCTACTAAGATATTAAAGAATAAGGTTCCTGGAGAAGTGTAGAGTGGCAAACGACCATCATTAATTCATTTGAAGGTGTTTGGATCTATGTGTTACAAGCATGTTCCTGATGCAATGAGAAGGAAGCTTGATGACAAGATTGAACCTATGATGCTGATAGGATATCATAAAACGGGTGCATACAGATTATTCAATCCAGTTAATGAGAAGATTGTGTTAAGTCGAGATATTGTGATTAATGAAAATTCTGCCTGGGATTGGAATTCTAGCAATTCAATTAACAAGCCATTAATGAACTTTGATTTCGACGAAGAAACTGATGAAGTAGAGGTCGAAGGAATTGTTGAGAATCCAGTCGAAGTCGAAGAAGAAGCAGTTGCTGACACTCCCGACACAGTCGAAGAGGCTATGGCTGAAACAAGCCAAAGACCTCAAAGAAATAGAGTTCTTCCAACAAGACTTCATGATTATGAAGTGGTGGGTGATGATGAAATCACACTAGATGGAGAATTAGTTCATTTTGATTTACTTGCAGGTGTTGAACCAATCAACTATATCGAAGCTTTAAAGATTAACAAGTGGAAGTTAGCTATGGTCGAAGAGTTACAGGAAATCGAAAGAAATAACACATGGGAGTTAGTCGAATTGCCAGCACATGCAAAAGCTATCGAAGTAAAGTGGGTGTTCAAGTTGAAACACAATGCAGATGGGTCAATAGCAAGACATAAAGCAAGATTAATAGCTCGAGGTTTTCTTCAAAGAGAAGGACTCGACTACTCTGAAGTATTTGCTCCAGTAGCAAGATTAGAGACTGTTCGACTAGTGGTAGCATTGGTATGCAACCAAGACTGGTCGACATTCCATCTAGATATGAAATCAGCATTTCTGAATGGTCCTTTAGACGAAGACGTTTATGTCACACAACCTCTTGGGTTTGCGATTCAGAAGAAAGCGAGTAAAATATATAGATTGCACAAAGCGCTCTATAGCCTCAAGCAGGCACCTAGGGTATGGAACAAGAAGATTGACCCATACTTAGTCGAATTGTTATATAGCAGGATCCTATGCTGCATGTCAAGCAATTTGGATCAGATCTGTACTTGAAGAAATGATTGTCGAAGTGAAGAAACCTCTAGTATTGCAAATCGACAACAAGTCAGTCATAAATCTGGCGAAGAATCCAATTCTGCATGGAAGAAGTAAACATATTAAAGCAATGTTTCACTTCTTGGGGAGAAAAATAAATAAAGGTGAAGTTGAAGTTATGCATTGCTCAAGTGAAACACAATTGACCGACATTTTCATCAAAGGATTGAAGATTGACAGATTCCTGAATTTGAGAGAGAAATTAGGAACAGTTCAGATTGACTATTTTTAAAGATGTTCGGCAACTTGAATTATGGGGGTGTGTTGAAATATTAAATTATATTATATTTGATTAGATTTAATATTTAAATATAATTCAAGTTGTTTTAGCTCAAACCCAATTAGAGTTGTATATAAATAATTATCATTATTTGTACAATTTAATAAAACAAATCTTTATTTCCTTTATTATTCTCTCTTTATCTCCTTACTAAAAGTGTCTCACGTACTAAGATACCCTATTTGACTCCAATAACATCTTTAAAAAAATAATAGACATTATATCAATGTAGTGTAAATACATAGTTGATGTAAATACAGTAGACATCAACTATGTAAAAATCGATGCAATGTAAATGTCATAAGAAACAGAAGTAGCAATACAGGAGCATAAACTATGAAGTTGATTTAAATAGAGCTATGAAGTTTTAATTTCCCGCACATACAACAGTTGTTTATAAATTACAAATCAAAAACCAATCAAAGATTCGGTACTCAAGTAGATGTTAAATTTACTACACCTTCTTTTGGATCGGGCAAGTATAACAAATTAGCTATTTTTCCTTCAATAATCAAGCAAGTATAATAACTCAGGCAAGGGTCTTTTCTTCTGTACGAAGACTATCAACCATTAAGTATGCCAACATTCTTTTCAACCAAGACAAGAAATAAACATAACAAATTAGCCACAATATACTGCAACTTACCTTCCCGTCCGGAAAAAACCACCTATTAGTTTGAGGATAACCAGCTATTAAAAAGTACATTGTTATTATCACACTGAGCTGACTTCATCTTTTTACTTTAGTAGTATTTAATTTATAGGATTAACAACACTTAAATGATAATTTGATTTCTTGAAAACAAACATATAACAAAGTTAAAGTTTGGAAATAATCCTAAAATATCCAAAAGGGTGTCAAGAAAACTTTGTTGAATTCAGAAACATTTTGAACCAAACAGCTTTAAAACTCCTCATGGTACCATTCTTTCTTGTTCTTCTTACTGATGGAAATCAATGTGCAATAAATAAAACCTTTTAGCACAAGTGCAACCCATCTATAAGATAACAATAACATCACACAATACAACAAATGAATTCTTGAAGGTTCTACAAAATTGATTAAAGTGGCAAAAGTAGAAACACTTTCCTTACATAGGGCTTTTGCAAAAGTTGTCTTCAATCCCAAAACATCAACAAAACGTTCACAAGCAGGAGGGTAGTTAGTCATTGCAAAATCAATAGCCATTGCAAAATCAATAGCCATTGCAAAAGTTGTCTTCAATCCCAAAACATCAACAAAACGTTCACAAGCAGGAGGGTAGTTAGTCATTGCAAAATCAATAGCCCTTATAGCAAAAGCATAAGCCAATTTCTTCTGTTTCATAATAATTATCATCAACTCAACTCTTTCCGCTTTCACAAACCTCTCTTTATTCTCCAACGGCATCAACAAGCAACACAAACAAATTCTCCACCAATTTTCCTCATCAGAACTCTTAGGATCCTTCGACTTATACATCGCCACAGCCTGAAGCACCACATCCAAACCATTCATCTGCCCTAGCTTCTTCTAATTCACAGAACTACTCTGCAGCTAAATCGCCAAAATCTCTGACGCATATTTCTTATTCCCATCAAACTCCCCCACCTTAATCTTCCCAACAACTTCGTCTTCTCGCAAACCAACTCCGCTACAACAGGTTGCACCTCAATCAAATTCTCAATTGTAGCAACCGTATTATAAATAGCAGCATTCTCATCAGGACCGGAGTCCGACAAATGGTGAAGATTCTGCAGCAAAAGCTCAAACGCACTATTAAGAAAATACTATATATAACTAAATCAAATAACTTCAAGTTAAATAAGGTCAAACAATGTTTATTTTGTTAAAAAGATATGATGAACTTATTCAACCAATCAAGAGTATTGTCACCTATCGGTTGCTTTCGAGCTCCCTTTCCAGGAACATTCACAATCTGGATTGGAAAGTATGCAACAACATCGATATAACACTGTTATAGCTGCAAAAAATAGTTGTTTAGTGAAGGTGTTATATATATGGAGGAAACTTACCACTGTCTCTACCCATCACCTTGATGACACCGATATACCAACATCTCCAACACCTACATAAAACCATAAAACTAAAACAAAACTTCATTTTAAAACTCCAATATGATACTGACAAGCACACACAGTTACATTCTGCATTATATTGTTTCTCTAATCCTCAATAAAAAACGATAATATTCTTCCATTAAAACAATAATCTATTACCAAGGAGAATAATATTCCTGAAACACACCAATGCTGCTTTCTGAAGTTTCAAAACCCTAATCTTCATTGGAACTGCTATCTTAGAAACTTTTCAGTGTCACCTGATTCATTTGTCAGCATATAATTTTGTCGTTATGGAGTCCATGAAGTTTGTTCATCTTCTCCATCGTTTCTCATTGCATTAACTTGAAAAAATCCAAGAGGTTGGATAATCAGACATTGGTTTGTAATCAAACAACCCTAAGTGACATCATCAATTAAAGAAAACCTAAAGCAGTAGTTGGAAATAAACAAAGGACATCATTAGTTAGAAAAAGTAAATTTTGGATCAGATTTACCATGATTTTAAAGAGGTGGCCAATTTAGAAAGAAGGGTAGAGTGGAGTTTTCTAGAACCTCAATTTTTCTTATATGGTAGATTGAAATCTGAAAAGGAGAGAGAGGTTGGCAAAAGATGAGATTTATCAAAGTGGATATGTGACTTTATGTATAATGTCCCATAAATGGTATCAAGACTGGAACAAAATCTCAATTATTTGTGCAATGCTCTAAGGATTTGTGTAAATCGCTGATTATGGTGTAACATAGAATTCAAATGGCTTGAAAAGTGAGATCATGTAACTTAGGCTTTGGATTTGTTATGAAACTTGTCACAAAAATGGATCTCTAATGCAACTTTGGATGCCTAACTCCATCTCTTCGAAACTCATACAAAACTTTCATGTTCCAGGAGCATCCTTTATAACTTTCATGTTGAGCACTTGGTTTGAATCAATTGGGATCATGGAGAAAAATGCGCATAAAGTCAGGTACTTCACATGGTCAAAATACTTAGAAATTTCACTAAGTTTGTCATTCAAAAACAAACAGGTCCTCCACTTCATGATCTCATATCTCTTCATCCATGCCTTTTTTGGAACTCAACCCCTATGGAAAAGTTGTAGTATGGAGCAAGATCTTCAATTTGATCTTTTGGGCATGAAAAATAGTTTCTTAGATTGAAAGTTACAAGCTTGAAAAGTCATGCACTTGAACATGATTTTTTTACACTTAGTGAAATTTCCAACATCTCCCACTTTACCCTTTTTACAAGTTATCTCAAATTTCTCAATTTCTCTTGATCAAATTCACTCATTAACCATATTTTAATGAAATTCAAGAGGAATCCATATTTTACCCAAAAGGGAAAAAATCAAAGTTTGACTTTCAGTTGACTTTGTATCAGATGAATCCAATTTGTCCAATTTCAATGAAAACGTTTGATTATGATGCAATCATTAGCATATCAAGATATATTTGAAGTTCATAAGAGGATAATATGACGAAGCCTTGAGTGATACAAAATTAAATACCTCAAAGCCTAATTCCTGATTTTTCATCTGAGGAACCAAAATCCTAATCCTCTTCAATCACTTGATGAATCCAATGATGAAACCCTAATGTGATAAGGTTGTGAAAATATGATGATTATTTTACCACCAAAAATGAATTAGGAGCTTTAATCACTGAGGAATACACATGTCATTGATCAACCAACTGTTGAATCCTCTTGACCTAACACACCTATCTTGTACAAGCAACAAACAAACAAGACAAATCCTTGTACTTTTATGAGGTTAGTGGTATAATAGATGAATGATATGATTTCTTAATGAGGAAAAAAAGGAGGTGGGATCTTAGGTCAAAAATTAAGATACAACATCAATCAAAATGTGAATGACACAACTATTCATCTTGGATGCAAAGTGCTGAAATTTAAACTAAACATATTAAAAACAATGACAATGAAAGCAAAAGCAAGAAAACATTTCAAGGTTGATTTTTTTATGTTAATATTTTCTCTAGTTAGGAAAGCATGAAAGTAACTTATTAATGTTAGTAGTAGTTGTATCAAGTAAAATGGTAAATATTGTTGTTGTTGTTCTTGTTGTTGTGGTGGTAGTAGTAGTTGTTGTTATTGTTGATATTCAATATTTAATAATTCTATTGATTTTTTTTTTGTTGTTGTTGAGATTTAATGTTTAATTAATTCATGGATTTTGTTGTTGTTAATGTTATTGTTGTTATTGAGATTTAAAGTTTAAGGATTCTATTGATTTTGTTTTAGTTGTTGTTATTGTTGTTGATGAGGAAGATTTAGAATTTGTCAATAAATTTGATGCTTTATAGATTAAAATGAAAAAAAATAGGTCATTTTGTTTTGTAAACTGGACTTTACCCCTCTATTATTGTTAAAATCTAAGGCAAAAAGTACATTTTTGAAATTCTAAAAAATGTTGTTGTTGGAGATCGAACCCATGACCAGTGCCACTATATCTCTCGGTTTTTGAATAACTGAGGAAAAAAGTGACAAATTTTTATGTCGTCCTTCGTTACCTCACATGTGTAATCGAGATTATATCTTTTTCGCGTCCGAGGTAAAGTGGAGTTATTTGTAGTAGTGATATATCTCATTTATTCAAATTGACTTATCATTATAGCTAATAGAAATTAATGTTTAAGTGACAATTGTATCAATTTACCGTCAAGTAATAAATTTATTCATGGAGATTGTGATTAATTAGACAATGTAGCAATCCTAATACAACATTAGGAGTTTAAATTGAAAATTATTGGTGATAAAAGTGAATAAAATAAATTGAATAAAAGATATAGAGGAGGTTGAGCGATGAGGGTGATCATAACTCTTTGAATCCTATTTCTTATCGATATACTCAATAGTCGCAATCTAATTTCTACCATTGCTCATCTAAAATTACTATAAATTAACAAAAATAAAGCTAAAACTAATATCATGGCTCAAAATCTCTTTTCTCTAACATACTTTTCTAATAACTTAGGAGGATTAATGTTATAGAAATTTTTAATGGCTTTGACTTCAAAAATCAAAATAAATTATTCATTAGGTCTAAAGTTGTTATCTATCAAACAATTATCCTAAGTTTAGTTCCAACATCCCTAGTTAATGATTAATTGTTTCTAAAAATAAATTTATATAAATACATGAATCATATAAGTCTAAAGGAGGTCAATCTTGAAATCCTAATATTAGAACAACTAGCTACTCGTGTTAAATTAAGACATTACTACCACAAAGGTGCTACAATAATACACGATGAAAGACTAGTGGCAATAATCATTGTTGCTTTCCTAATGCCTTATGCCATTTTGTCTCCAAAATTTGATTGCAAAATCCTTTTCTTGCTTAAATAGGTTTTGATATTGGAGTTTCATGTTAGAGACACTAGTGAGAAATTCTCATTTTAAAATGTACAACAGAAGGTACCATACTGCAGACTCCCCCTCTCTTACTATGGTGGATTGCAATACTTAAACTCATCTTTTATTATTTTTTCCAGGGGAATGTGCCATTAAATGCCCTTCAACGCATGACTTATTCCATTGACGTGGCTAAGTTCTTCTATAATGTAGTGGATTTTCTGTCACATTTCTTTATTTTCTCATAATCATTTTTTCATTGTTTGTTCCTCGATAACTTCTTATAGGGACGCTTCATTCCAAACATCAACCAAAGTTGCACAATTAATAAATAGACAAAAAAAAAACTATAGAAACATATCTAGTTAGTGGAAAACAATACAATTTATGAATTTATCGAGGAACTCAAATAGTAATTCAAATTGATATCCTTTTTATTATTATAATAATAAAAATATACTAAAATTAACTGAAAATATTGCAAAATATATTAATAAATAAAGTGTTATCACAATTCAAAATTTAATGTAGTGCTTGTCCTCAAAGAACAAAAGTATCTCAATTGTTCTTTTCAATGTTACAACACTCAAAATATCCTTCATTTTCAATGTTAATAAATATATCATGTCTTAGGTTACTTTCATCTACCAATATGATCAATTAAAGTTTCCTTCGACATCTTTATCTTTTTCATCAAATCCAAAATTTCTCCATACACAATCTCAAGAAATTCTCTCAAGCATTTATAAGGTTTGGTAATATCATCTAATTTTAGAATCATGTATCGACCTACCATAGGCCTGAAAAAATTATATTAAGTAATGACAATACAATCAAATGGTACATTTATAGAAGACTTCCAGGCTTTTAATGTAGCTTAGGTAAATGTGGGAAAATTTTGGAATAAAATACTTTGCACTTCGGAGTTAAGTACATTATTCTTATATCATCCTATTATATTTTGAACATAAGATGAAATATGGGAGATGGTACTGGCATTCTAGAGACATGTTTTTTCTTTCTTTTTACAAGGATATTCATTCTTGTTCTTATTTGTTCTCTTTTTTCTTGTTTAATGTGTATTGTTTCGTTCGGGAATTAAAAAGGAATGTAGTTGGAAAACTGATGATCTTGAACGGTGGCTACGATCTCCTTTACATCAGCGTGGGGGTGGACCTACATGGTTAACACTCCAATGTCCAAATTTTTTCAAGATTTAATATAAGTATAGTGAAAACTGGAGATCAAAGATTGTATCTTGTTCTTAGCATGTGAACTAATTTTATATTTTGGGTCAAGTGGAATGAATTTGAGATGGATTGGGCCTTAGTCAATTGGGCTTTTGGATGGTCATGAATAGTTGCCCCTGTCGTGGCGCGGAAAACACTTAAGCCTAAGGAACACTCGAAATACAACAGGAAAAATATCGATAAAACTCATGAAAGAAAATAAAATCGGTCATTGCAACAAGATCAGGTTTGAGAGTCGGTTATGCAAGGCGAAGATATTAAAACCCCCTCATATCCATTGTACTTAATGGAACCCATTTAGTTAGTTTTGTGAGTGAGTGTTAGCGTGATTTTCATTTGCAATCTTCTACTTATTATGAGAGAAAAATGAAATAAAGGATTTTTAGGGTTTTTTATTATTGTGCTCGCCAAGATTTCAAAATCATGTGCCTGCGTATTCCCAGGTGCAATGGGGAAATCAGAGCTTCGTAGTTCATGGTAGAAAACCACATATTTGTTGGTTGCTTTTAAAGAGTGATACTTTAATCATATTGGGCAGTTAAACATTTCCTATTGCTCGCTCTTGGAGGTTGAACCATTAGTTACGTTGAAATGGAGA